AATGAGAAAGTCTCATTAAGATTACGGTATGAGTATGGTATTATAATAACAATTTTAAAACATGACAAGATAACAGAGAAAATTTTACAAAACAGTTTTGGACTAGTTATGCATCTGTTTATTCTATGACGTTTCATATATACAGAACCAACTTGTTTTTGGACAGTGATTTCATGCTATTCAGGGCCGATTTTATCCACATATTGAAGGATATACCGAAATAGAACTCAAACACTGATCTGAATTATACACTCTCTTCATGTGGGATAAAATAAAGGCCATGAAAGGGTAACTATAAATATAAAAATATAAAAGGACCTATTAGGTACTCAAACCATTAACACAAATCGCCTGTACTAAAACTAAATGTATTCATATACACAGATATGTGCCCTTGTACTGCAAGTTGCCCAATGCAGACAGAAAGCCAGCAGGTGGTTTGGTGAAGCTAACAACATGGACAATAGTTTTGGACAATAAAAAAACTATGAACCCTATTACAAGGTTTTGTAAAAAGAATCCTTTCCTTCTGTCGGACTATATCTGTTTACGAGAATGCCAGTAATTCTTGCATTAACTATACCAAGTCGCAAGGGCTATGGGTAGGTTCCTGGAAAAATAGACCTGATAAGCCACTAAATATAGGCTGGACCTCTGACGGCCTCAAAGTTCTCGGCGTTTTTGTTGGAAATAACACCGCGTTTACGGATAGTAATTTGTTTGTTATCGATGAGGTCACAGGTCAAAATATGCACCTGCCCTGTTCTACAGAGAGCGTTCTATGATTATCAACAACCTTGTTGCATCTAAACTCTTTCACAAATTAATTTGTCTCTCTTTTCCTGATTGAATAATATTATGTTAAGTTCTATAAATAGACTTTGTATATATTTATGCAGGGCACTCTGTAAATGAGAATCGTGTTACCACATACACAGCCGGATCTCTCACACCAAAACACCAGTACAGAATCATGAGTAGCGATTCACATTTATTCCTTCACAAGGAGTATTACTTTAATGAGTCTCTACATGACAGGGATGCAGTCGAAAATCACCGTATTGATGACAGGGATATCAGAGATGATGACGTTGTTGTCGTCACCTTTCCTAGATCAGGCACTGGTTGGATGATGTTAGCTCTTTCCGAAATGTAAAAAATGAACCTTCCACCAGGCCTGTACCGTGATCATGTCCGATCACCAAGGCTGATTTTATGGTTAAATGGTAGAAAAAATTGCAAAATTATCTACATATCAAGACATCCAAAAGACGTTTGCTGTCCTTTATATCAAGTCTCGAAATCATTATTTGCATACATGATCCCAACTCGAAGTTTGGAAAAGTTTGTGAGTCCACGGGAAAACATATTGCGGTCCCTGGCTGAATCATGTGTTGTCATGGAGAAGATTTAGTGAGAAGGATAACGTTTTGCATACATCTTTCGAAGATATGAAGGCGGACATGGCAGCTATATTAACCAAAGTTGCAGAGTTCCTAGGGCGACCTGTAGATGTCGAAACCATTGAACGTGTGGTGACCCGATCTAGCTTCGAATCGATGAAGTCAGTGGGAGATGACATGCGTATGACACCACTCCAAGACTCCTGGCGTAGTGTGAGTCAATATTTATGGAAAGGTGATGTCGGCAACTGGAAGAATCACTTCACAATAGCTCAGAATAAATATTTTGATAAGTATATTACTATGGAAGCTGAAAAGCATGGATTGGTGATAACAAATTTATGAGACAGTTTGTTTATTATAATGGATTGGTATAACGATTAGTTATTTGCATAGTTAATGTGTGATGATATTTTTAAGAATGTCAAGGTGCATTGTATTTAATATGTTATTACGGTGCGACCTAGTTAATATTTGTGAAATATTATTAATGATAGTGATTGTATTTAAGTTTATATGTAGATATATCTTATAAGTTGGGTAAATGTTTTTTTGTGGTGTGGATTCACAGATTATAATGTGATTATCGGTGGCGATGAAAACAAATCGTTTAGAGGGTCACTGCATGTTACAACAAATATGTATTCCCTAAAGTCGAAGACTTGTTCTTAGGTAATACTCAAAAGTAAACAGTAGAGAATTGTTGGAGTAAGAGGTCAATAGTTACAAGGTCGAAGGACATAATAATTCTAATACAAGCTGCGAACTAACCACATTATATAATAATCAACTGACATTGACATTGATCTGTACGTAGTTGATAATAATCACCAAACCATGGGCCACCCGTGAAGATTCACCGTGTAAATATATTTAAATCGTCACAAATGTTTGCAATATTCGATTTAAGTTATTCTTCATTGTTTTAGGATTTTTTAGAATTGTTATAATTCACTTATATTAGTACTAGGTATAGCAATATATAGTGGTACTCATTAACAATCTTGTATGTGGACTTGACACAAATCTGTTATTTAGTAGAGGAAATTTTACGCATTGAAGTGGATCAATCTAAGTTACGTAGGTTTAAACTTGTGAAATTGTACATCCTTTAAGGTAGAGATGCAGTTTACCTGACAGGTATTTTAATTAGTTAATTAGGAAACAAGATGACCTCCCTTGTCCTCAAAACTATGTATTTTCGGAAAGCTTATTGTATGAATTTTAAAGTTTTTTTAGTATCTTATTTTTATGGACACTGTAGTTTGAAATATGCACAAAAATGTGCTTTTTGGTGAAAAGTGATTTTAAAAAATTAGCTTCTAAACCATGCTTCTGTTTCCTGTCAAAATTGGTTTATGGGTACATCTGTTTACTATGGAGAAAGCGCCGTCTTGAAAACTTGTCTACCAGTTGTCAATTTTGTAGAGCAGCAGCTCAAATTTCACTACTTCAAGTTTATGCATAAATTAACACCCAGGCTAGTTGTCTCTACGATTGCTGTAACACCATTCAACCAAAAACAATGCCCCGACGGCGTTTTGAAGATAAACACATTGTCAATCATTTGTGAAAATTTCAAAACAAAAGGTCTAAGCGTCTGGGAGCTATTTTTTTAAGTTCTGGAATGTGCACTAAAAGGAAGCTGAGATAATTGCTAATTTGCATAACAATTCACTCAGTAAAAAGTTTGCTAATGCTCACAATTAAAATGGCTGTTAAAAATTCAAATTTAAATGTATTATCGTTTTGTAAAAAGTTAAATACAGTGCATAACATGGAGATCTCGTCATTACTTTTTTTCCACCATGTTTTTTTTATTTATGTACAGAATTGCTAAATCTTGCTAAGCATTCAAAAGAGATAACTTTGCACTTGTTATCTATATTTTAAAATCGATTTTTGAGTATGTTCCACTATTCACAATTCTACAAAATTTTAACAGTCTATAGCCAAGACGTTTTGGATAATAAAAAGCAAAAAAAAAAATTTCACTCCCAAGTGCCCACGAATCTGCATCTCTACCTTAAGACATACACCTCTCAAACTTACTCATTTTATTAAATCCGGTGTGACTAGTATAGGCGATTTATTGACCGATGAAGAATGGTTGTCAATTCAATCATTACATCCACGCATTAGTATAAACTGAGCACGCCTACTAGGTATCGCTCTGGATATTGTTCAGAGTGCTATCCCTACAAGTATAAAAGACATTGTAAGAAATTAAAACACTATAGACATTGGACGTTGTTAGACATTGGATCTAATCCATTGTCTCCTTACTTATTTGGACCATTTAGAAGGAAACCACCAGTGCTTCACAAATTGATGGTGTTCATCATTACATCGGTAAAAGCTTTAAAGCGGGAGGGTCGTCACCTGCGCACGCGCGGGAATTGAGTCTCAAGCGACGATAACAACACACGCTAAAAACGCAAAGGCTCTTGGGTGGGTAGTCGCTTGTTTGTAAACAACTACACGCTATGTCCATCTGACGCATGCGCAGATGACGACTCCATTGTTTTAATACACATTACCCGGATAAAGAAAATGAAGAACTTACCTGGTACTGATGTCATACATTGCTTCAAAGCACGACTGAAATCAAGAGCACGGGTTGAATACAACTACTAGTACCACAAGCTGACTGTTATTATGGTAGCCTTCATCCAACAGTGGTTCATCAACGATGCAGTAGGTGATACCTCGTACATCCAGACTTTTTTATGTATATATTAAATTGAACTATTTCTATAATAAAATTACACTTATTTTCGAGATTATTTTACTAGAATTGTTGAATTGTTCATATATTCGACTATAATTTGTACAGTATTCGATGTTGTTTTATACTTACCTTTACTTTATAGTCCGTTACAATGTCAACTCTCATTAATTTCATCACATATATTCGAATATATTTTATACTTTCCTGTACTGTTACACTATAATTCGTTTATGTATTGTTATTCTGTATCTCCTATATTCGACTGTGATTTATACTTACCTATATTTGACCTATTCTTGTATTTAAACAGTGATTAACTGATTTTTGTTATCACTCGAGAATAAAAGATTCAAATGTATGTATTGTAATACTATCTCTGTCTTACATATATATCCTAAAATTGCAACCCTAATTTTCGATTGATATCAGCTATATGTTTTCCTAACCACCATTATATATGTTCATACATATATTCAAGCATCAGCGCCCAACAATCCAACTTACATTCCCACTATTATAAATATCCGTTCACCGAACCCTGTAAACATAACATGTTCATAAAATGAACAAATAGAATGTAAACTTGAAAGGGCATTACAATAGATTTTTATTTCGAGTACATCCTGAGATGTCAAACATAATTCTAGACTAATACGTTTTGCATTGTAATCATGTACTGTGTAGTTTAATATATTCCATGTTCTAATAAATAATTGGGTTATCATGCACCTTTTGTGTGTCAGTAGTGTTCAGTTTATTTCTGTGATTATGTTTTGGTTCTATAAATAGACTTTGCATATATTAATACAGGCTACTCTCTAAATGAGACAGTTGGATCTCTCACATCAAAACACCAGTACTGAATCATGAGTAGCGATTCACATTTATTCCTTCACAAGGAGTGTTACTTTCATGACTCTCTACATAACAGGGATGCAGTCGAAAGTCACCGTATTGATGACTGGGATATCAGAGATGATGACGTGGTTGTTGTGACTTTTCCTAGATCAGGCACTGGGTGGATGATATTGGCTCTTTCCGAAATGTACAGTGATTTGAATTGGAAGTTACCAAGTACAGGACGGCGTGTCAGGCCCTGTGCTCTTTATGAAAAAATGGACCTTCCACCAGGCCTGTACGGTGATCATGTTCGATCCACCAAGTGTGATATTAACAAGATGGAATCGCCCAGGCTGCTTTTATGCCACATGCCGCCTCGTTTGTTCCATTCAAAATGGTTAAATGGTAAACGAAATTGCAAAATTATCTACATATGGAGACACCCCAAAGACGTTTGTTGTTCTTTGTACAAAATCGCGAAATCAATTTCTTTATCCGAGAGTGTAGATTTCACCCAGAGTTGGGAGAATATGGTGAGTAAGTTTGTCCAGGGGAAAGTAAATTTCGGTCCCTGGCTGAATCATGTGTTGTCATGGAGAAGATTTAGTGAGAAGGATAACGTTTTGCATATATCTTTCGAAGATATGAAGGCGGACATGGCAGCTATATTAACCAAAGTTGCAGAGTTCCTAGGGCGACCTGTAGATGTCGAAACCATTGAACGTGTGGTGACCCGATCTAGCATCGAATCGATGAAGTCAGCGGCAGACGACATTCGTATGACACCACTCCAAGACTCCTGGCGTGGTGATAGTCAATATTTATGGAAGGGTGCTGTCGGCAACTGGAAAAATCACTTCACAGTAGCTCAGAATGAGTATTTTGATAAGTATATTACTACGGAAGCTGAAAAGCATGGACTGGTGATAAAAAATTGATGAGACCGGTTTCTTTACCATTATGTATTAGTTTATAACTATTAAGGTATTTTCTATAGTTAATTTGTGATAGTATTTGTAAATAAGGTGCATTGTATATAGTATGGGATTAAGGATGGAACCTTTGAATATTATCAATGATAGTGTTTGTATGTTAAGTTTATATGTAAATATATGTTATAAGTTTAATAAATGTTTTTGGGAAGATCGATTCATACATTTTGATGGCATTATCTGAGGGGATGATAATAATGTGGGTACTTAGTTATGAGAGTCGTAGCATTTGCAAAACATGTATGCCTTCTCACAGGAGTTTTCAGGTTATATTTAAATGTAAACATTAGAGAATTGTTGGAGCAAAAGGTCAATAGTAAAGAGTTCAAAGGTCATAATAATGTCAATACAAACCACATTATATAATAGTCAACTTACATTGACATTGATCTGTACATAGTTGATAATAATCACCAAACCATAGGCCAGCTGTGAAGCGTCACCGTGTAAATATATTTAAATCGTCACAAATGTTTGCAATATTCGATTTAACTTATTCTTCATTGTTTTGTTTTGTTTTTTTAGGATTCGAACAGACGAATTGTTATAATTCACTTATATTAGTACTAGATATAGCAATATATAACAATATATAACAATATTGTATGTGAACTTGACACAAATCTGTTATTTAGTAGAGACAATTTTACGCTTTGAAGTAGGTATAAACTTCACAAGGTAGAGGGTTGGAAATAAGAAGTTGGTTGGGAAAAAGACACATGAAATAAATAGATATTTGACATCTTAGGTTTAGGTATACTACATGTATAATTTTCAAATAATAAACATAGTTATGATATGGAATATATAAATAGAATTGAATAAATAGATTATTGAAAAAAAATATTATACACGACAACATTTATTTGTTTATTTATCTTTACATCCATTTCGTAGGCAAATGTTAGAATGCGGCGATCTTTACGCCACGCATGCGTGAGATATATTTATATGTACTTGGCCAAATTATGTTCAACAACAGGATTTGGAATCCACCAATCATTAGACCAGTGGAACAATCCAATGCAACAACATATACTATCATTGTCATGGTAACGGTGATCCCAGTCGGTGTAAATCGAATATTATAGATGTTGTGACAGATATACTAGTAATCTTAGATTATATTTTAAGAGTGACTTTCCCAATTTCATCTCGTTGTATTTTGTATTTTCCTTACATGTGCTATGTACAATAGTCTGAATATACCGACATATTAATACATTAACAGTCAAATTGTATGTTTTAGTCATGTATATAATCAATTTCAATTAGTTTTCATATAAATATATTATTCCTCCCTAATTTTCTCGATTTTTTCTTTATGCTGTTTTTTTTTTTTTTTAGATTTCAACATCTGCGACAATCTCACAACCATTCTAATGGTCACTCAATTTTTATTCCACATTTTAACTGCTTGTTGATCCTCCACCAGAGGATTTATTGCGAATGACCTGTTTTTTTTTCGGATTAAATGGCGGCTTAAAATATATAGTTATCAGGCTTTTATATTATATTAAACTGTGCGGTGAGTAAGACACTGTGCTATCTCATGTATGAATGTTGTTCTATGTATATGCCTTCATAAACTACATATTTCTGCAATGTGTGCCCTACTAATTGAGAAAATTTACCTTTCAGTATGTCAACAATTGGCCATAATAATTTGGATAAATGACTATAAAGCGGTCATTTCCATGCACTGGGTGACGTGAAACCATGGCCACTTTCAACACAACAATGGGAACGAGTGTTCTCCCTCCGAATGCACAGTAGATATGTGGCTACGAACATCGTGCTATATTGATGTTGGATCAGTTATCGTTCATGTTGCGGGCAAAAACAGTCATTGTGGCATACATTCTAAACGAATCAGTGACGGCGACACGATGTAGATTTCAGTGACTTGTTAGTATTATTATTTTTTACATTGATATGAAACATATACAGGTGTTAATAATTGTAGTTATCCAAAGAATAACAATTATTGAAATTGTTTTTACTACGATGTGTTGCATTTGCAATCTGGACGAAACGGGAATAATATGGCCTTGGCACTGTCTTTTGTTTTGTGACACTATAATCTCCGCAATACTCGAGGTTGTTTTGCTTATATGCGTGCATTTTTTTCTGTTACTCGTATCAACAATCTCGCTCGCACATAAACATTATCTAGTGAATCGAGGAACTAGGACAGCCGCCATTTAATCCTAAAAAAACAGGTCATTCGAAATAAATCCTCTGGTGGAGGATTAACAAGCAGTTAAAATGTGGAATAAAAATTGAGTGGTTTCAAGCAGTTTAGTAACTTAATAACTTAATAAAAACGTGGCATGTACCAATCGTTTACAATCATAATTTATCATTCACGCAACATTTCATTTTTAGCCATCACGGATCACCAATTATACTAACCATTATTCTTGTTTAATATCCATTGCAAAGCGATGTACCATGTGTCGGTTATGGAACTACAAATACTGCTTTTGCTTAATATTCCAAATAAAAGAATACCTATCAGACTATTCCACACTCTAATACCTAGATGTACAATTAACAATTGACCTCGCTCCAAGACAAAATCGTAATGTAAACATCTTAAAAGATCAAAACTCGTATATGTACTTTCTATCATTTTTAGGTAGAGTTTGTTTATTTGTTTGTTTATCAATGCAAGATGAGCACATGCACGATTAGATTCAGTGTTAATCGATAAAATTAACGCCATTACGTACAGTATTAGTTATATTGCTCATAGTTGCACTATTAATTGTTTCATAATGCTGCTTGCATGAATGAATAACTGAAGACCTTACGTGTAACTCACTGGGTTTATTCTGTATAGTAGGTAAAGAAATACAGAACATGCTGCATCCATCACTGACTCACCACCGAAAACATGCGCAGTAGTTTAGCTACTTAATATTCATGAGGGCGGGTCATAGTTCAACATAACATCTTGTTACATCCTTTCTCTTTTAAAACAAGAATGAAATTTAAATCAACGATTCTATCGCGTAAAACATATTTCAAAAGTTCTCGTTTAATGAACTATTGTTCTCTCATGAAAGCATTCTAACGGTTCACCATATAACAGTCTATAACTAACATATTTCTAACTAATAGTTCTAAACTAACAGTTCTGTACATAGTCTGTTAAATATTGCGGCTTTCTGATTACTCTTCCTGATCTAGTCATTCTACCTGAATTTTCTACTATGTTTTGTGTACTATTGTATGCTTTGTCATCTTGCTCTGCCATGGAGACATCTGGAGATATGATCTTGTGTTCCTGCTTCTTGGTTTCTGTTCTTGCTGCTGGATTTGCAGGAGTTCCAACTATGTCAGTGGTTTCATTTGGAGTGTATTTCTCATAGGTTTTCCTCAGGTGTTTGCGGTTTCTACGTAGAATTCGTCCATCCTCTGTTGTAACTTCATATTACCTAATGTTCACTTGTTTGCTGACTTCAGCCTTTTTCCACTCTATGTCTGATATTGCAGTAGGCATAATTCTTACTGTGTCTCCTTGCTGAAGTGTTTGTAGATCTTTGGCTCCTTTGTTATATTAGTATGCTTGCTTAGCTTTGTTCTTCTTTATCTGCTTTATCAGCTTTCCTACATTTCTCACTACTGACGGTTTGAGAAGTTTTGCAGTTGTAGGTAGTGTAGTCTTTGTTCTCCTATTCATGAGTCTCTGCATTGGGCTGCTGTTCATTCCTTGAGTTGGAGTGTTTCTGAAATCTAGTATAGCTAAATAAGGGTCTGAGCCAGCTTGTCGTGCTTTTCTCATGATGTTCTTTGCTGTCACTGCATTCTCAACTTTACCGTTGCTCTGGGGTTATCGTGGAGAAAAAGTAATATGTTCAAATCCCCAATTTTTGCTGAATTTCTTAAATGCTTCTGACGCTTCCTGTGGGCCGTTATCTGAGATACATGTGTCTGGTATCCCATGTCTAGCAAATTGGGCTTTGAGTTTACCTATAACTGTTTTCGCTGTTGTATCTGGTAAGTAGTCATCTCCCAATAGTTGAAATAGT